TAACTGAGAGTGGTTTTTACACCCAAAGACGCTGAGCAAACTGGGAACCCTGGCTTTTCAAAATTCCAGGGCCATGAAGTCATCCCAAGCCACAAAGTTTACTTAACCCTTGCAGCCCGCTCGGGTGTACAAGCCACTGCTCGAAAATTAGGACCCGCCAGGCCAGAGTCACAATGGCCCGTGTGTATCTGTGGTTTTCCTCTCTCCCAGTGAAGTATTTAAGGTTTCAGAGTCACCCCACCAACTTCAAGTAAAACAGTCAGCACTTTAGAAGGAAATGGGCACAAGGAGTGCATTTTTCAGGAGGATTTTTCTGGGTTCATCCCAGGAAGCATATCGGACAGTCTCAGAGCGCACACTTTGAGGAAAACACCGGAGCCAGATAAACAGGGAGTGGGCTCTGACAGCGACGACCGTCGAAGAGGGTCATGGAGAAGCCGGTCGTGGGGGCTCTCTCTTTGTGGCGGCTTCATGGGAAAGAGCCCCATCTGAAAATGCTTCTTGAAGGCTTTGTTTGAAAATGCAGCATCATGTAAGAACCCTTCCAGCAGATGATTCCTGTCTTTTGCTTCACAGTATTATGCTAACACAACTTCAGGGATTCTGAACCGCATTGTTAGCACTTGGAAACCCCCTCCCCCAGAGCAGAGAAGACCTCGCTTTCCCTCTGGCACAGTGTCTAGTGGTCTGTATTCCCCCTTCCCGACCCTCTCCTGGAACAAAGTAATAAATAACAAGAACGACTTTCAGATGGCCCTGTCACTGGCGGGGAGGGGGGGAGTTAGGAGGAGCCACAACAGATACCGACTCTTAGGCTACGGGACTTTCTTTGCAGTGAGGACAGACAGACCTTTCGTGGACTCTAGATAATGCAAAAAAATGAAAAGGTAGGTAGGCAGGAGGCCAGGGTGAGAGGGGAATTAGTGAGACTGCAGCAGAAGCCCTTGTTTCTAACAGCTCCATGCATCTGATCAGTATAATTGAATGACAAGCAACCTTGCCACCTGACCCTGACCTCCGACGTGTGAAGCTAAGCCAGCAGCTTTCTCTTGAGTTTCTCTGCCATTGCCACCCTGTAGTAACACGATTATAAACAACAAACTTAGCACGGAGTTATTTCAGTGAATCCTCATGAGGAAATGCTGAAATCGCACCTCCCTCCTCTATTAAATTTAAAAAGGAGGAAAACGAAAAACAGAAACTAACTGGAAACCCGAGGAAAGTAAATATTTATATTAGCAAATTTTCAAATCGCGTACTAAAGATTCAGGAAGAGGGAAAATGTTCAGACTACGGCCACCATGTGTTTGACATTTCCAGGCCCGATATGCGGTCGCAAGTGTGACTGGGGGAACTGGGTGGGGCTGAGATAAATGAGGGGGGGGTTAAGAAGAAACGTGCAACAGAGTGGGAGAAATTCAAAGACGCTGGGGCCATTAAAAACAACCTGATGAAGGGTGAACTCTTCAGAGCATGAGCAATAATTTGGGGGTGTGGGCAGATGACTGGCTGCTGTGCAGGTTGATTTTTCAGGAAGTGAGCCTGTTCTGTGAGGCACTGCAATCTGGATACATTTGTCCACACACAGAAGCTACAACACAAAGGATGAACCCAAAGTAAACTATGGACTTCGGTTAACCATAATGAGTCAGTGTCCGTTCCTTCCTTGTAACAAACGTACCACAGTAACAAAAAAGGTTAATAAGTAGAGGAAACTGTATTGGGGGGAATGTTAAAATTCTGTACTTTTTGTTAACCTAACGCTGAGAACAAGTTTAGAATTGCTCTAAACCATAAAGCCTATTCATTTTAAAAAAAAATCGTAACTGAAGACAAATCCAGGGGGAAAACATTTAATTAAGTACTTTGTTGTTTTGGTTTATACAAAAATAGTTTTAACCCTTTTTTTTTAATGCACAGATTAATAATCTAAAAGTTTATCAACTCTAACAAGAAATGACTTTTAATTAAAGCACAGAATCTTTGGATTCTTTTAGCTCTGTAATGCAGTTATAGGAGAGGTCATGACAAAAATGTCTGCAGTCAGCTAGCTGAGCACAGCCAAGCAAAAAGAGCAAGTTTCTTAGCCTCTTTGAGCCTCACAGTCTCCTTCTTCTATAAAAAGGGAAGATAACAGCAACCATGGGAGGACTGAATGAGATTATGGTTACCAAGTGCCTAGTACAGTACCTGATACATAGTGTATGCTTGATAAAGGCTAGCTAATGTAATTTTTCATATGAGTGTTGTGCTCCTAACAGGGCTAACATTATCCATTTAATCAGATTATGTGCCAGTTAGCTTACTGCTACTTTAAAGTTGCTGAATGCATCCCCTGGCCCCACTCATTTGTAAAAAGTGTCCAATGCACCTCTAACATGAACACTTAGCTCTTCCAATTAGGGGAATGGGGCAGGGCTGTAAGAAATGGTTAAGGATTTTGACTCCTCCCGTGGCTTGAGCGTTCAGTCTTTCGGAGAGGTGTGCAAGTGAGGAGACCTGAGCTGGGAGATGGACCCTTAACCCCTGGCAGCCAAGGGAGTCCTGTGACATGGACCCCAATAAACCTGGATTAAAGATCGGAAAGGGGGGGGTGCTCTGGACAGCAGTTTGGCTTGAAGCCATGATTTAGCTGACACAGCCCAGTCCCACTCGTGCCAAACAGTTTTAGTCAGCACGAGGCCATGTGTGAGTGAGTCCTACAGCGATTACGCAGCAGTGTGCAGAGTCGAAAAGTATTCAAGAGCCGAAGGACGCTCATGATGCCAGGCATCAGCAACATAAGCCCCTAAACGGGGACAGGAAACAAAACCAGGTCCCTCTGCAAATTCAATCTGTGGTCTGCCTGTGCCCTCTGGCAGTCTTGAAGGCAGGTTTAGAATTCGCTTGGCAACTGTGCTATGTAGACTGAATGAAGGTCTAATCTAGCTTGGAACTGAGAGGCCTTGGGGTATAAGACCTTAAAGGGACATATGGAAAGTAGAAGAGGGACTTGATTCTGGGGATGGTCCTGAGAGCAGCGTGGGCCTTTTCTACACACCCAGGCCTTGGGACACCAATGATAATGAAGACAAAATATAAGCATTACAGCAGCCAGGGCAGAATAAAAAAAGGTCTGGTGCTCCCACCTTAGAGCTAAAAGGATTTTCTTTTCACTCTTTAAGGCTATGTTTAGTAAAGGCTCAATGAGCGTATTTCCCTGTAATGCCATTATGACAAACGTATATATAAAATCTATATCATATTACTATGATTAAAATGACAAGAAAAATATGGGATAGCAATCCTTTTTAAAAGTCTTACAAAGTGAAAAAAATTTTTTAAATCTATAAATGCATTATTTGTCCCTGCGTGGCAAATGACTGGCTAGCTAGCTGTGCAGTGGCAGGCGGCATATATCCTCCAAGGGAACAAGGTCATCTCATCTCTACTTCACTGGTTGGAACTTTAAGCCCACTTGATAACATGCCAGCAACTTCTCCATTCCAACTCACACCCTCCAGCTCCTAATGCCTCAACCCTTATGGTTCCGCCTCCCTAAAACCGGAACACCCTGGCATCAACCAAGGATCCCTGATCCCGGAATTCCCGCACTCATAGTTACTTTCCCCTAGTTTCCCTGCCTCATCCCACATTGTACATTTTGTCGAGTCCCCTGGAGCCTGTGTAAGAGTACACTTGCTAGCACTACACAGGCTTAGCTTTACTATCTACCCACTGTTTGACTTTGGGTAGATGACTTAAATAGATCCACAGTTTAACTCATTGGTAAAAAAATGAGACTAATTACTTATCTGACAAGTTTATTGCAAAGACTAATTTACACAACATACATGAAAACATAGCACAGCGTCTGGCAGATAGTAAATGCTCAACAGGCATTAGATTTTTTGTCTATCCCTCAGACTCCAGATCCTCGGCCCCTACCTTGTATCCCACGTTCTGGATTCTTAGTAGTCTTCCGGCTTTAAGAAATAAGAACAACCAGAATCTGAGCCTGTGAGATTGGGATGGCTTGGTTTGCTTGACCTGACACCTTGTCAGAGATGGACTGGTATACTCAGTCCATCTTGCAAGACTGTAATGCAGTGAATGGGGGGTATGAACTTGAAATGAAAATATTTATTTTTACTCCACCTCATTCCATAAAGGATTTGATGCAGCTTGAAACCAATGTTAACCATATTAAGTTTATCTACAAGTAGTCTTTTGAAGTAGGAGGAGAGTAAGAAGTAAAATTTAATATCTGCTATTTATATTTCCTTCTTGTTATTGGCGCCCATAACACCATAGTCATTGTAGGTATGCATTTAAATTTAAAAAAAGAGAAAGAGATTTTTTTGTTTGTTTGTTTTTGTTTTTTTTTTTTTTTGAAAGAGATGTTTTTGAGGGAAGGCAAGTGTGTGTGTGCGTGTGTGTGTGTGTGTGTGTGTGTGTGTGTGTGTCAGAAAGAGAGAGAGAGAGAGACTGAGGGAGAGAGAGGAGGGGAGAATCCTATACCTTCTCCTTGGACTGTCTGGACTATGTCATAGCAAAAATACAATCAATGACTCCTTTGATCAATGCAACAGGGTGGTGACAGGTACTTTTAATTCATTGTTGCTGGTGATTATTGACAAGTTGGTAATGATCATGCTGTACTATGTCACTCAGGCTGAGGGCATTAGCATTCTTTAAAGGTCAAAAACAAATTCTTTTAAAATGCATAATTTCTCAGGAACCAGGGAAGCCTCAGAAATGTTTTCAACCAGGTTCACACTACAAAGTAGGGAATATGTGAGACAGTCAGGATTTCAGTTCTTTCCCTGTGTCTCACATTAAAATGATATTTAATTTTTCCTGATTTAAATTCTTGGCTGTCAAACAAACTGCGTGGCGAAATTCTTCCAATGGGTGAATGGAGAAGGGATTCTGAAAGCTATTTATGTCTCTCGGAGGCCTAGGCAGACAGCACAAACCTAAGGCAAATCTGTACCAAATGAAAGCAAAATTATACTTACTCTGTGACACTCTTACAAGCTCAGTCACACTAAAAACACCTGATGTGACAAAACTGTCTTGGAAGCCCAAATGTCCTGGGGAAACAAAAACAAAAGAAAACAGCGTCATAAACAGAAGACATCTGATAACAGAATTCTAAATATTAGTTTCATTGTGATTAAAAAGGGCAATGTCTAATTTCCTACTCTGCTCTATTAAGAGTTGACGTGGGCGGGGACAGTCATCTCGTTACATAGCTGGTTTTCTGGTTTGAATCTGGGGGCTACGGAAAGCTCTGACACAACTGAGTGATTTCTGATATGGCTTTAAAAAAAAAAAAAAAAAAAAAAACCACCAAACAACTCAACAGGAAATCTGAAACAAAAGAAGATTTAAAATAAATGGTTACCTTGGCTGACCTCTGAGACCTTAACAGCTGAGCTGAAAACAGCCTACCTAGGAATCAGCCAGGGTACCCAAATTCCCTAACAGTTTTTCACCATTTTTCTCTAAAGAAACATCTGATCAGGATTAGCTCTCCATCCATTCAAATCAAACAAGATTTAAAGATGTTCTCTTCATTTTCAGAGGCACCACAGGATGAAATCTTGAAAAAGCCAAACCAGAAAAGCCAAGCCCCATGCCTTGAAACATGAAAACAAATTCTTTCGAGCACAGATAAAAATTTAGATTTGTTTTGAGAACAAGAGGGTTTTTTTTTTGTGTGAGTGGGTAGATTGACTCTTCTCTTTTCTTTTTTTTTTTTTTCCTGAGAGAAGATAATAAACCAATGGTTCTACGTGACTATCTCTGAATTTTGCATCTGCTTTATTTTTGCTGGATATAATTAATTCCTTTAATATACCTGCTACTATCTCTCTTATCATTTGTTTTATTTTTATGGTACATTCAGGAACATAAAACTTATAAATAGCAAGGAATACATAGTTTATGATATGCTGTTTCCTTCTCAGCTTCTCAAGTTTTTTGATTCTGAATCTCAGATAGATAAAATCTAGTTGAGACGCATCTCTAGGGTTAGCATAATCACCTCCTTTAAAAGTAGGGCCAAAGGAGGGCGCCTGGGTGGCTTGGTGGGTTACACCTCTGCCTTTGGCTCAGGTCATGATCTCGGGGTCCTGGGATGGAGCCCCGCATTGGGCTCTCTGCTCAGCAGGGAGCCTGTTACCCCCTCTCTCTCTGCCTGCCTCTCTGCCTACTTGTGATTTCTGTCTGTCAAATAAATAAAATCTTTAAAAAAAAAAAAAGTAGGGCCAAAGGGATTTTTTTAAATATAAACTTTCCTTTGAAACAAGAAACATACTTTTAAGAAACGCAAAATCAGAAAATAGGTCTATCTGAATCTATAACAAACAGCCTACAAATAAGATTTATGTTATTGACAAAAAATAGATTTTTCCCAGTACTAAGGGGAGGCAAATTTACCTATGGTATAGTCTAACCCACCAATAGATTCATTAAATGTCACGCACATAAACACATGCAACAAATCACTATGTTTGGGAGACTTACAAAAGTACCCACAAATTATTCTTTTTCTGGTAGCATTAGAATTAAGAAAGGTTTTTTTTTTTTCCAGTTAATTTTTAAACCCAACACAATCTATGATATTTTAGATAAAACAGCTCTAATTTTTAGAACATGCAGTAACTATAAATTGCTTTTTTAAAAAAGGCATTTTATTTATTCATTTGTCAGAGAGAGAGAGAGAGATAGAGCGCGTGAGCGCAAGTGAGCACAAGCAGGGGAGCAAAAGGCTCCCTGCTGAGCAGGGAGCTGGATATGGGACTCGATCCCAGGACTCTGGGATCATGACCTAAGCCAAAGGCAGATCCTTAACCAACAGAGACACCCAGGCATCCCTAAAAATTGCTTTTTAAAGTAAAATGGCAAACTTTCATTTGAAGACGTGCTTCAGAAATTTCACCTGTTCAAACAACCCCCACCCGGGTCTCTGGTTGACTCTAATTTGGTAAGTGCCTAAGATGTTGCCTCTTGGATAGAGACCTGAGAAATAAAAATAAGCAAATAAATAAAAATTCTCTAAAGTGGTACTGGCAAAACCAACTAGAACATCTCTTTTTATTGTGACGTTGACATCACATCAATCCCACAGACTGTAACAAAGGAAATCCAACCACAACATACATTAAGTTTGACTTAAAACACATCTAGTGAGAGCAAGGAAATGCACATTGAATGGGAGACTTGGGCCGATTTCCAACTCTTATTCATTGCTGTCTGCAGTCTTGCTTGTGGGCTGACACTTGCTTCGGTTCCAACCTTTGACATTCCTTACTTTAAGGACAACTTCACAAGAATTTCTATACAGAGTGGACGGGAACACATGTACTTCAATCTCGCCACCAAAAAAGCAAGCACTGTGTTTTGAAAACTAAGTTTAGCATGGCACAAAGACTCATGAGGGGGAAACACTGCGCACATTCACTCCAATATCTCCTCTGGATTGCCTCTTCTCGTGTGTCCACCTTCTAGTGGCGTCTCCAGGGTTTGTGCTCAAGGGCACAGATTTCCTAGTTACTTCCTCTGCTTCTATGATCAGTTACCAGTCTTGACTCTAACGTTTGTGAAAACTACAATAATGTTTGTTTCATTCACCACTGTATTTAATGGCTGGGACAAAGCAGTTAGTAAGAGAATATTTGTTGAATGAGTGGATGGATGATGCTATAGGCCAATGACTCTCAAATCTTTGTCTTTTGCCAAGAGTGCTCTCAAAATATTTATTGGATATTTCTACCCAGTTAGCCATGGGAATCCTCACACCCAATGTGTCCAATGCCAAGCTCATTTTCTTCTCCTCCCCAAACCTGTTTTGATGCTATGGAATTCCCTCTTTCAGTGAGCCATCCACGACCAGCTTGTTTTCTATGTTTTGGTGCCATCCTTAACTCCTGATTCTTACAAAAACCCACATCCAACCAATCTTGACTCCAAGTGTATCTCCATTCCCCCTCCCTGCCTTCTCTCCTCAAGTCTGTGGCTCAGACTCTTCCTAATTCTCGCCAGACTGGCCATGTTCTCGATTGTCAGTCCTGGCTTCTCAGTTCACTGTCTACTCTATGGCCAGAGCTGTCTCACTAACAGGCAAATCTGAGGGCTCATTCGTTTATTCAACAAATATTTACTGAGCCCCTACCATGAGCCAGGCATTGTGCTAGGGGTTCAAGATACAGTCTCTACATTCAGGAAATTTACAGTCTAGGATTAGAAATAGCTGACAACATAAAACAAATGAATTATCTTAAAAATTATAAATGGTATAAATGAAATGAAGAAAATAATTAGGAAACACTTTAGAAAGGGTGGTTAGTGAAGGTGTCCCTTAAGAGTTGACATCTGAAAGATACTAAGGAGAGAGCTAGGAGAAGAAAGGGAAATAACTCTTCATGTAGTGGAATTAGCATATGCAAAGGCACCTGGGTAGGAAAGAATGAGATGCTGGAGAATCTGAGAGAAATCCAATGTGTTCAGAGTTCACTGCCCTGTCAGAAATCTTGCAAGAGCCCCATAGACAGCTTGGGGAATAGTACAAATTCCATCACATGGCATACCACCTTGATGTAGCCTCTATTTTCCTCTCTATCTCATTTTTTTTTTTAAAGAGTTTATTTATTTGTCAGAGAAAGAGAGAGAGCACAAACAGGGGGAGAGGCAGGCAGAGGGAGAAACAGGCTCCCCACTGAGCAAGGAGTCCAGTGCAGGACTCGATCTTAGGACCCTGAAGTCAGACCCAAGCTGAAGGCAGATGGCCAACTGACTGAGCCACCCAAGCATTCCTGCTCATATATATGTGTATATATATATATATATATATATATATATATATATTTTTTTTTTAATCTCTTTCCTCTCTCTTTCTCTCTGGCCCTACCCCATGGGACTAAGGGAATACTTGCTTCACCATGGTCCTGGTTCTCTCCTCTCTCCACACTGTTCCCTCTTCCTGGAATGTCTCTATCCTTCTGGCTCTTCGCTTGGCCAACCTCCTACTTGTCCTTTAGGACTCAGCTTTGCTGTCATTCAATCAAAAGTCTTCTCTGGTTGCCTGCACTCTTTGCAAAGACTCCTTTTCTCTTTTCTCAACACTGACCAGGTATACAGAGTATACTTCTAATCTAGGACCCAGCACTGTAATTCTGTCTTTTTCTCACATTAGACTGTGGGCCTTTTGAGAAAGAACATCTTCTGTGCCTCCAGGTCTTAACACAGTGCCTGGTCTGCAGTAAGCACTCCAGGGGTGTCTGTAAGGGAACACAACCCAATTTGGGCTCAAGGATGTTTATTTTTCTTTTTATAGAAATGTTGACAGAACTTTATTTTTGTCTCTCTCTCTCTCATCTCTAGCAATATAGTTTGAACTAAAATGGAGCCAATGTACATCTGAAAACTATTAAAGTGAACAATCCCAATAGTCCCTCCAGATTAAACAAGACAAGGACCGAAGAGACAATCCGTTTAGAATGCAGCTTCCAATCAAGAAGGTGACATCAGGGGCACCTGGGTGGCTCAGTGGGTTGAGCCTCTCTCTTCAGTTTGGGTTGTGATCTCAGGGTCCTGGGATTGAGCCCCACGGCGTGCTCTCTGCTCAGCAGGGAGCCTCCCCCCACCCCCCGCCTGCCTCTCTGCCTACTTGTGATCTCTGTCTGTCAAAAAAATAAACAAAATCTTTAAAAAAAAAAAAAAAAAAAGAAGAAGGTGACATCGTGTTCTCTGATGAGAAATGCCTGAGGGGTTGTCCTATTGTTGTAACTGTGGTTCAAACGTTGGGGAACTGAGTTAAAACAGAATTAAAGGGCAGCATAATTTAATGGGCAAAAGGGGCCAAAAAAACCCCAAAGAGTCCAGTCCCAAGCTTAAACTAGGACCTTCTGTGATCCCGAGAAAATCTCTGTAAAAAGTCATGATTGGATCCTCCTTGTCCTCTGGGCAACCTGCTCCCTCAGGCTGATTTTAATAGAATGTGTGTAATTTAGAAGGTAAACTATATGTGACTGTACAATAATTAGAAAAATTAGGGGCGCCTGGGTGGCTCAGTGGGTTAAGCCGCTGC